TTAAGGAAAACACTTATTCTATAGTGTAAATTAATCTCTGTTGTAAAGAACTGATATTATATTGCATTCGTTCTTGCTTAGTTTTCTCATTTGCTACAGAACAAAGAGGATGAACAGATCATAAACTTAGAATTTGGTGTTGTTTGAGATCAGCATATTACAGGCAGAAATGTTTATTAAGTTCACTTGACAAGTGGTAATCAAGGGACTGGAGACTAGGCTTCTTGTACTGTATCAGATAGTTGTGACCAGGAGACTTGGGTCTAATTCCTCGACTTTATACGCCTCCTTTGCAGATGGCTTTGTGAATTTCTATACCTCTCCTGTTCCTTCTGGTTGTAAAATTCTTTGAAATAACCTGTGCCTTGTAGAGCTGAATTCTCACCCAGCCTGATGAATAATTAGTTCTGGGCATTCAGCCTTGCTGTATCTATTTACTATTTGCTTGTCATGTTTGAAGGGAAGCACTTTTGATTAAATATTTATCTTTTATTAGTATGTGTTTGGAGGACCTCATGATCACATTCCTCATGGGGAGCTGGGACAGGTATATGACACATCTTCGTGGCTTTTCATCCTCTTTCTTTCCCATTCCCCTTCCCTCCATCTCCTGGCCCCCTTCCTGTTTGCTTCCTTTCTGTGTCCTATTACCTATCATTGTGTTTTGTTCTTTATTTATATTTTGTGTTTCTTATATAAGACAAAACATGTAGTATTTAAGCTTGTATGTCTGTCTTATTTCACTTAACACTATGGGCTTAAGGTGAGTTCATTTTTCTACGAATGACTTAAATTTATCCTGTTTTATGACATATTAGTGTAGATATAAGATCTCAAACTCACAGTCTTAACCCCATTTTTCGCTGCCTCTGAAACTTAAAGTTATTCATTGGACATTTCTAGACTCTTTTAAACAAAAAAAGTAAAAATCATGCTTGTTGGCTTCAATAGATTCTAGTAAGAATTAAGTGAAAAAGTGAATGTAAGTCATAACTCCCTACAAAGCAAGAGGAATGATGACTTTAAGAAACATTGCTTTGAACTTTCTCAGAAGTCTTTAAAATGTTGCACATTGTCCAATCCCTCTCAGGCTGTCTGCAACAGAAGAGCATAGACCAAAGTGTTCCAACAACAGACTTTTTCTGAAGCTACATGGTCCAAGACCAAGCTGCAGGCAGACATGGCTCTTGGTCAGGGCCTCCTCTTAGCTCATAGATGGCTCTGTCCTTTGTTTGTGTACACGTAGTGGAGGATGCTCTGTGACTTTTCCTCTTTCTGTACCTTCATGAATCATCTAAACCTAATTCTCAGAGGCCTTGCCTCTTAATACTACCACATTGGGACTTACTAATTCAACATATGAATTTAAGAGAGCACAGACATTTGGTTCATAAATACGTTATTTCTGGGAGAAAGATGTTAGTGTGATTGAGTATATTTTGATATGCCCAAAGGAATTCAGGTCATTAACAGTTTGAATGACTGTAGTTTTCTAGTAAATGTTGACAAAAGGGCAAAGGTCTACCAATTTTAGATGTCAACAATGAGATCATCTCACTTTTGCAATTCTCTATATTATAAATTTCTGCTGAAATTGTAAGGAACTGTACAATAAAGCAAGATTATGTTCTCATTTTATGGATGGAGATATTGACATGACCAGAAACTGAATTTTAACCTTGTTATGTATAGAGCTGGTCCTTAATTGATGGCCTCTCATCCATATTATGTCCTTAGTGACAGCCATGTCTGCGTCGCTAGATAAAATGTGTTGTTTAAAGAGTTTCTTCTACCAGAATGTATGGAGGTTTTCCTAACAGTGTCATCATTCTACAGGGCAAGTTGAAAGTCACTGCAAAGAGCATCTTCCATACTCCTTCAGTTAGAAGTGGAGACTGAGAGATAGCAGAGGGTCTCATAACTAGCAGGCTGGCTAATGCAAGCTTTGTGGAGATCAACCCTCAGAGGGCCAACCGTTCCACGACTCCTCAGCTGTGTGACCTTGGGAGAAATAGTTTTAGCTTTTTAAACCTTCAATTCCTCATCTGCACATTGATAATAATTTATAGATGAAAGTGCCTGGTGCATAATAAGCACTCACCAGCCCTCAACTTCTTTTAGTCGTGAATCTAGGACTAGGAACCATAATTCTTAACTCTCAGTCCAGTGTGCTCTTTATTATTCTTTAGGTTGCATGAGTAACATTGCTTTGAACTGAGACCATTAAGTGCATTCTTAAAAACATTGTCTTCCAAAATCAATCTGTTCAGATTTTTAATAATGCAAGAAAGAAACTTGAAGTTAGCCTACAGAGATTTTTATTAACCAAAGGGTTATTTTTAATTGGATTTTGTGCCCGTTGTTATGGAAATGGTTGTTTCATAGATTAAGCATTATGACTTTACTGCAAGATCAAGCCCAGGATGGGGTATAATGATGATATCATCCTTACACTTCTATTCCTTGACAAAATGGATTTAAAATTAAAAGATCAGTGGTAAAACAGCTTCAAAAGCACACATTCATAAGAAGAAACTATCTACCCTATAAAAATAGCTTTAAACGATATATTCTCTTTTCAAAGATCAAAACTAAGGGTGACCCTGGCTGCCAGTAGGATGCTCAGCTGCTGTCGAGTTATTAAGCACTTCTTTCTCCTCTATGGAAACTAGAAAGAGTTCCTTTGATCTTGGAATGTGCTTTCAACATTTGGTCTCACAGCATTCTGCAGTTGCTGAATTAACAGGCTTCCTCTTGTTATGCAGTAATCAACCTCTCAAAATTGTTTTGTCCACAAGTGTTTTATACACATACCTGGATCTGTAATACAACTATTCTAAAGAAACAAAGGAGATGAATTCTACATTTAATGGTGGTTAGTATTGTGAATTCACGTTGCAAATGTTAGTTTATGGCACTGACTAATTTTAAACCCCAAAGCATGCTAGCCAAGGAAGACAGGGTTTATTAACACGGAGGAGAAGACTCAAGGACAGGGTGAATAACCTAGAATGCAGAAAGCAAACAGTGATCTCATGTGAGAGGATGCTGCAGGCTTCTCCTGCTTGCTTCCCTTGGTTTTTTTGTCACTTCTTTTCTTCCTCCTTCTTGCTAAATTATATCTTTATACTCTATGTCCTTCTGTGGTCCTTAGATAGCGATGAGTCTTGCCAGCAGAATTTGTGTAAAGAAACTTCAAATGCTATTGCTATTCCTGATTCTCAACCAGTAGAAAGTCATGAAATTTAATGATGTCATGCTTTTGCTAATTTATTGTTTTCTCTATTGATTTAATATACCAGCAAGTTTAAATACTTTTTTAAAAGGCATGAGAAACACTCATCAGCAAACAATATATACAAGCAATGGTCAAAATATACAATTAAATTTTAAAAAGTATTATAGAAAAGACATATTACCATTAGTCCCCTTCAAATTACTCCTCCTTACTTTGAACATTTTTTTCACCATTTTTGTCACTTTCTGAATCACTTCTGAAAGTCCTCTTTTGTGAATATCTTTATGAGATGTGATTAAAACAACAAAAATACCGTAAAGGCTGGTGTGAAGTAGCATTGAAAGAAAAGGCACTCTGGTAAACAGTCCAGTGAGTCCTCATCCACCTTACCTAGTGGATCTCATTAAGCAAAAAGGACCATTAAAGGCAAATGTTTTAAAATGATCCTGCATATTGAGGCAGCAGCAACACCACACTGCATTCATAGAAGAGAATTTTCTCAACTATTTCAGAAAATACGAAGAATTGGTTAGATAAGTGTGTTTCAAGCAATGGGGAGACTTTTGAGGGGCATCAATGGCAACGTGTCTTTTACTTTAACAATAAAAGAAGATTTAACATCCACTGTATTTTTATCACGTTTCATATTTTAATATATTTTTCTAAATGAATCATGTTGCATGAAGAGGAATATTTTAATACAAATTTCAGTTGTATTACAAACATTTTCCTTCCCTTTTTTATTAATGAAAGAAATATACGCTGACTTTGTCATTTCAAAAATTTCCACTGACTACCTTTTTGAAATATGAACTCTTTTATTTATTTATTTTTTTATTGGTACCGGGGATCGAACACATGACCGACCACGCACTTGCAAGGCAGGTGCTTATGCCTGAGCTAAATCTCCAGCCCCTTGAACTCTGTTTTAAGTCTGTTTACATTCTCTTCCTGTACATTTACATAGATTCACAGGGTGTTACCTTTGCACCTGTTTTCATTTTTTTTTTTTTTTTTTCTTTTTGTCAACCAGCTGACAGTACCTGCCTCTAATACTGCTTTCCCCACCTCACACCACACTAGGCTCTTCATGCTGGGCCTTCTTTGTTTCAGCCTGCTTCCTCCAAGGCAAAACTCTCCCTCCATGTGCAGAAGCTCTTCCCCCACATGGTAAGATTTGCAGATGTGGGTTCATCCAAGGAGAGTTAAAGCGGACAGAGCACAAATGTAGGAGACCGGTGAACCTCAGAGCTTAGTGAATGCTGGAGTCACAGGAAAGGAAGCGCAGTGTCCCCTCAGCATGGGAAAATGGCACACTAATGACCTGGGGTCACTGATCTCAGAGATTACGTGACTGCCAACCACTTCGTACACAAGAAAGAGATCATTGCAAAAGTCACATAATTCCCTTAAAGAATGTGTGTGTGTAAATTGGGAGGGTTCCCAAAGCAATATTGACTGTGCCTATTTATGACAACAGGTTAATTCATTTGTTTTAAGGTTTAAAAATTCTTAATTTGTCACACTTGAATGTTTGTTAACTAGTCATTTTTCTTGCTTGTTATGACTTTAACGGGCTTAAAAAATGGTCCAGCCAGTCTCTTCTATCTCTCTTCTCTCCTCTCTGCTTTCTTTCTCTTTCTTCTCTCTCTCCTCCCTCTGTCTGGCTTTCTCCTCTTTGTCTCTTTCTCTCGCTTTCTGTGAGGCTCGTTTGCTTGACTGATTCCGAGTGTCCATAATGACTGTTTGGCATATTCTACAGGCAAAGGTCCCGAGACCCTTTTTGCTGGCTATAACCTCAATGATAACGAATGGCACACTGTGCGTGTGGTTCGTCGAGGAAAAAGTTTAAAACTAACGGTGGATGATCAACAGGCCATGACAGGTAAGTAAGTGCCCCTATTCTTGTCATAAGGCTTTAAAGTTTCTCATTTCTTGAAAGTGGCAAGTGCTGGTAGAGTGTATGAAGCTTATACACTCCACTTTTAATTCCAATTTTTAGTAACAACTGAAAGGATTTGCCCTGGATGGGAGGCTGCAGCGGTGGGAGTCTGGAAGGCAGAACCAAGGGGCTCTGTCTTGAGGTCATCTTCCCTGCCCCTAAGCAATTTACCTGTGGTGCAGAATGAATTCCAGTGGGCTACCTGTGCATCAGTAATGCCCCTTATGCACCACCCCAAACCTAAGCTATATGTATGCCCCCATACCACGTGTCAGGCAGAGAGAATGCCAGACCCCAGAGGTCATGGAGTCTCTCTCCATATTATTAAAATGAAGGCCACTTTTATTTCATATTTCTTATCTTTTTAGCCACTCCGAAAATTCTATCAACAACTTCATTTAATAAGCAGCCTGTGAAATACTTCCTTCCAAATGAACAGCACTTTTTATGTCATGTTCTTTGTCCTTTAATAATTCAAGAAGGCATTATAGTATATTTTAATTTAGTGCCTTAATAAATATCTTATTACCTCATAAAATATTGAAGGTCCCACGTGGATGTCAATTTATGTTCGGATTGTTTCTTTTTTATATATTTTTGATGATAAAAAAGAAGAAAGTTCTGCATTCTATATGAGTTGATAGATAAACTGATATTCTGTCAGGTGAACTACTTTTATATTCTATTATATGAACTTATACGATCATAGAATAGTTCATTTTTGGTCATTTAACTCAGCTGATTGAAATCTAATATTAAAGATGGCAAGTTCAATTCTAAATTCATAGAATCCTAGCCAAGGTGAGTTTTACAAAGATCTGCCCGGAGGACATGAGGAAGACAAATGAAAGCAGAATCAGCTCACCTTTATCTTCTTTGAAATAAATCTGAGCTCATGACCCACTAGAATATTAGCTCCTCTTTCTTTTGTGGAGGGCATCTCTGTGCTAATTCTTCAAGTGCAAAGCCCAAGATGGTTCTTGTGCAGTGGAAACGCATCCGTTCTGCATTCAATCCAGTGAGCTTCCCAAGCTCAGAGTATGGTCAACTCTGTCAATACGGAAATGGCATGTGTGGGAATTGTAACTTTCGAAAGAGGCATTCCTGAGTTCAAATAAAGAACTACTAGCTCATAGATCTTCTACTATCCTACATTCATCAGCCCAATATGGCTTTCCAAATTTTTTTTAGTACATGTAGTGGAACTTTTTTGTGAACTCTACTTTATTGTGGAAGTTTACTTTGTTTCACAGCCACCTGAAGAGCTTTAAATGTTGGTTTTGGAGCTCACACCAAGGGAGGCCTCAGGAGGAGCCCAGTAATTTGTTTCACTTCACAGGTCTCCAGAGGTCTTGAATGCAGCAGATGTGTAGTTCTACATTTAGAACTCACTGCTATGCTATGCCATTTTATTCTCTGAGGAAGAAAATCAAGCAGTGTTGTTAACTTACGCTTTTATTCAAGACTGCCAAACACAGGAAGACTGTGAGAGTTCATCTCAACTGAGGGAAGGAGGCAGAGTTTTTCCAGGGCATAGGCATTGCAGTGTCTACAAAAGTTCAAGTAGTTTGAGTCAGGACAGTTCTTGGAAGAAAAATGGACTGTTGTAGCTTAATATTCATTATTTAATCATTGGAATTTTATCAAAAAGGGTGAAAATAAACAGGATTTAAAATTAAGATCAAGAGGTATGAACCAAAGAACTGCTAGGAACAAAACATACAAAAGCCACAACAGAATGTCCTCTGGTCTCAAGTTTCCATCAAAAGCACACCGCCCCGTGTAGTAGGGAGAGTGAGGTATGTATTTCTATTTTAAAACTTGAGGGACGTACTCGAAGAGGTTTCATCAAGTGTGCTTCATTGAAATTCTGTTGTTAGCAACACTGAGAAGACAGCCTAGGTTTGGTTTTAGGATTTTTGTTTGTTTGTTTTCCTTGATTGATTATTTTGTTGATTCATCGTCTATTCTTTCATATTCATTATCATGCTAAGTGTTGTACTGTATGCTAGGTATTTTCCAAGCTGTGACCTCATATTATGAGGGTGAGAAGTACATATAAAATTCAGGTGATATGTGATAATATAAGGTAGTTATGGGATATGAAAAAGTTCAAAAATAAAAATAATGAATGCAACTGGGGATCTAGCTCAGCAGCATAAGCGCCTGCCAGGCAAGTGCTAGGTCGTGAGTTCAATCCCTGGTACAAAATAATAATAATAATAATAATGATAACAATGCAAACAAGAGTAGTGTATATTTACTACTGTAAGAATTTCAAACCCATTTATTTTGACATTTCCATGTCTCCTGTTCTCCTCCCCCCACTTCTGTCTCTCTCTGATTTCAAAAATACTAAGTTTAGTGGTACATGTTAGGTATACAAACAATCATGTTCATCATAGGAAATAGTTTCCTTAACCAATCAAAAGGAAGTGAGATATAAACTGACTTCCTAAATACTTCAGAATATACCTTTTCAATAGTATAATTCTGTGTGTTCCATTTTCATACTCCAGTGCTATTAGTCGGCTCAGTGTTGTTTACAGGTTGAAGTTTCCCTGCTTTTGCCCAAAATGTAGTATAGCATCCCATGTTTAACTCAGATACTACGTCTCTTTATCTCTTTCAATTTACAACATTTCCACAAACTTTTATCTTTTGCTACATTGCCATTTTTGATTGTTCGCTTGCTGGTTTTGTTTGTTTGTTTGTTTGTTTGGTACTGGGGATTGAACTCACAACGTTGTGCTTGCCAAGCAGGCACTTATGCCACTGAGCTAAATCCCCAGCCCTATTTTTAGTTGTTTTTTCTGTTTCTTTGTTTTGTTTCTTTTTGTTGTTGTTGTTGTTGTTGGACATTGCCATTTTTTAAAAATGTAATTCTCTTGGTACCTTGAATTAAAACACAGTTACTTATTTTGTGCTTATGTGATGTTTCTTCTTAACTACATTCTGGTTTAATATTCTGGGGTGAGATGTGCATTGTTGACCTTTGGTCTTCTGGGATCCTGTCTGAAGGCAATGATCAGACATGTTGTTCATGACTCTGATTGAGACATGACTGAGTTTGACCACTTGGTTGATGTGTTGTTGAGACTCTTCACTGTGTGATTGCTACATTTTGTCCTTTGCAAATTAATAAACTGTGGACAGATATATTAAGACTATGCACATACTCTGTGTTTCATCAAAATTTTGGCCAACATTAGCATCTGTTCAAGATATTTTGTCTGATCAACTAATGTTCCATGCACAGATTTTCTTTGCCATGTCTTATCCTGGATTTGGCCATTTATTTTCCATTTAAGTTAAGAATAATACAAATATTGTGCTCATCATTAGTACCTTAGCTTCACAATCCTTTCAATAAGCATGTAGGAAATATATACATTATACACACAAGCACTTTCATACACATATGAATATATACACACTCATACATATGAATTACTTGTGCACATAAAGATGAAGGTATTCATATTTTCCAAAACATGATTTTACATTGGCATTCCTTATTTATGGCACTATTTCTTTTTTTTTTTTTTTTTTTTTTTTTTTTGTCTTTTTCGGTACCAGGGATTGAACTCACGACTGCCTGCTTGCAAGGCAGGCACTTATGCCGCTGAGCTAAATCCCCAGCTCCTTATGGCACTATTTCTTGATTTACCACATTATATATCCAAATATTTTCTTCCAAGATGATTGCCTTGCTTAATTTTTTTCTCATTGTTGAGGCAAAATACCTGACACCCAAAGTGTAGCAAGAAAAAGTTTATTTATCTTACAGTTTTTGGAGATTTCAGTCGTACTCAACTGCCTCCAAGGCAGGGTGGCATGGCTGAAGCACAGCTGTTCATGGCGGCTGCAAAAAACAAAAGTAAGGACAAAAGAGGAAAGCATGTCTCCTTCCCTGCCTTACATTGTATGCCAGTTACCTGCCTCTGGGTGTGTGCAGCACTCACATTGCCAATCCCAGTGCTAGACAAAGAACCAATCACAAGCGTTACTCTCAGTAAGGTCCATGACTGCATGAGGCATGTGCAGACACAAACCATAACAATGACAGTTCAGATCCTATAATATTTATCCATTTGTTCAATCTTACAATGCCTCTAAAATAGTTTCATAGGTGCTTTGTCCATACCAATTAAATTGATTAACTAAAGAGAATTCAGAATTACTTTGTGATTTTTTCTATTTCTCACTGTCTAAGATTAACATATATACTCAAGTGATGAATGTGTAAATAACTTAGTTATGCACTTTCATCTTTCCATTCTTTAGTTCGCCATTTTTGTCAAAAGTCTCATGAAGTCAGCAGTTCACAGTAACCATCAGTATTGATTTGTCTAGTATGAAAAGGGTTTCTGAAAGAGATAATGAGAACTTATAACTGAGGCTTAAACATAGAGTGGGCTTTTTGTTCCAACACCATAGTGGCCTCTTGCAGTCACTCATGAATCAGGAAAATAGTGAGAGTTGTTATTAAATAACAGGAAGAATTTAGAAAAGGAAAGTACTAGAAGCCCTTCAATGCAATGTCCTACATTTTCCCCATCTTAGGCCATAGTAATTCTATTAAGTATTTGTTGAACACAGGGTAGAGCATGTTCCTGGGATTGTCGGCTTCCCAGGTTTGCAGAGGCCCAGGGAGAAATTTCCTTTCACATCTGAAAGCACTGTACAATGTGCAGGATCAGAAAGCAAGTGTGGAGTCACCTGGTTTCAACTCATTACCTCGTCTAAATTCTGGATTGTGGTGCGTGCGTGTTTGTGTGTGTGTGTGTGTGTGTGTGTGTGTGTGTGTGTGTGTGTGTGTTTCACTGTGTCCTCCTGGAATAGCTTTCACCTTATATTCAGTTACTCAAGCCTAAGGGCCAAGCACATCATCTCCCTCTTCTCCATCATTTTACAGATTATACCTGAAAAATTATCTTTTTTCCATTAAAAAATACTCTAATTAAAACACACACACACACACACACACACACACACACACACACACACGTTACAGCTAATGCCTATTTAACACCCTAATATAACTAGGATTCATGGTGAGAGATCTGGCCCTTGGTGTTTTTTTGACTTTGTATGCACCTCCGAGCTCTCTTACTCATGCTCCTAGTTTGTTCTCCCAAAGACTTAGTTCATTTTTCTCCCCTTCCTAGAATTCACCTGTTGATTCCTTTCCACAGGTTTTGTTATAGCTTCCTTTTTAACCCATCAAATCCAGCTTAAATATGATTTAAACCACCTACTCCCATTCCACATACACCAACAGAACAACCCATTCATCAAAGCTGATCTTTCTGAGGTATTATTATTATTCCCTTATTTATGCTACACCTTTGGTCTGCCTTCCCCTAATAGAATGCAAATTTTGTGAAAACAGGAGTCATGCCTGCTCGCTCAGCAGTGTTGCTGGATCATGTAACACAGCACACTGTCTACCGTGAACATACACTAGCTTGCAGTGGATGAGCAAGTGGACTTAGCACCTAGAGGCTATGCTAGTCCACAGCAGACATTTAACCCAACTCAGAATAAGCAACTGCTCTCTTTCTATTTGATGAGGAAAAATATAACTAAAGAACTGGATGATCAGGTATGTTTATTGCTACTAAGGTTTCTGACTTCTGACCTGTAGATACCTGTAAACATCCAGACATATATACACAGTGCATGTGTGCATAAACATATACATACACATATTTTAGAACCATAAAACATTTGCTCCATAAAATAACCATCGTATATTTTCCTTTAAAGTCTTTATTCTTATTTACTGGACATGTATATGAGGAAGATGGAACACAGTTGTCATTTATGAATGGAAAAGATTTTAAAGGAAATAGCCAATGTGTTTTGACTGGATAATTGTCTTTAGGTGATCATTCTCCCCCATAAGCAACCACATCTTCCATAACCATTTAAGTTAAGAATATATGATTTTTTGTGATTTATATGTGCTTCTTAGAGTAAAAATAAACTTTTAACATGGATCAGTCATAAGGTTTTTGCCTCATAATGGGGCCATGGTTGCTTCAAACACTGTTTTACTGCCTTTTAATAATTTAGGCTCTATATAAATCCTCAATTCCTTTGAGAAGGAAAAACAGATTCTGTTAGGAACTTTTTTGTTTGTTACTGGACTTCTCAGACCTGTTAAAGAAAATGTTCTTCCCGGTTTCAGAGTTGCCAAGCACCTTGCAGTTTGGGATAGTATTTAATATTAAGCATTAGAAATGTCTTTCTGCATATACTATTTACTATTTACAGTAGAAGTTTTAAGAAGAAATATGGCAGTTTCAGGTTTGGGGTAGGATTCATTAAGTTATGAAATTTGAATTGAATACGAATTTTGATGTATACCAAAACATAAAAATTAACATATGGTGATATCAAAGACAAGTGATGTTTCATATTTCACATTCTTCATTCTGTGTAGCTTATTGATTCAATTTTACTGGTGTCTCTAGAGCTTCATATTTGGAAATTAGTAAGGCTGATTTATTAAAGACGTAGACCCCCCACAGGGTCATATTGATGTTATTGAACAAGGAGTTAAGAAAGAAAGAGAAATGGTATCTTATGATAAACTGAACTGCTAACAGTGTAACAGTATTTTGCATGAAATGGACAGTCAAAAGGAATAGTGATAGGAGGGAGAGAGAAGAGACAAGTAGAGTAGTAATTTCTGTTTAAAAAAATGTATGGAAAGGAAAGAAATTGCAAGCAGGCTGTCGTAGTTCGATCCCCGGTACTGATAAAAAGGAAAAAGACAAAAAAAAAAAAAGAACCAACTGTCAGCTGGTAAGAGAGGATGGCAGAGATATCTGGCGTGCTCTCATGAAACATTAAGCAGTAATAAAGTGGATTTGAAAATGATACAGAGTTAAGTACAGTAGAGGGTGTTGTCTTTTATACCGATGAATTTCTAATTATCAAAGTCAATCACTAATGTATGGAAACAGTTTTTCTTGTACTACAACAACCACACCTTTCCAGTATCAGATATGCTATCCACTATTTTACTTATTTTCATTTAAAGAGAGGAAAGCCCACCATCTGGACTAGGGGGCACACGTGGATGGGTACTTGAACTTCATTACATGAGGGAGGGAGGATTAGTGCCTTTTCTCAAGGCCTGATTCTGGGATTAGCCCTATTAATATTTCATTAATGTCATGGATGATGGGATAGGGTAAGCTCGATAAATTTTCCAATTATGCCACATTGAATGGGGAAGCCAGCCAAGAAGTTGGCTGGCAGAACTTCATTGTAATTTAAATGACCTTTATGAGTTGAAGCACAAAGTAATGACGGTTTAATTAGATAAGAACAGGATGCAAGAAATGAACAACTAGCCAAGAGTGCTTTTTCATTTGTGTTGTGCTTTACCATTTAGAAAATAAGTTCATATCTTTATCTGTTCACCTTCAACCTTATAGGGAAATAGAATCATCACTCTGAAGGCACAGATGGGATCAGGTTGGCTTTTACTGACTTTGAGGGGGAAATGGTGGGACAGAGAGGGATGGGGCTGAGTTGAGCAGTGAACCATTGTGTCTGCTACCGAGCTTCTTGCCATCATGGGTAAAGAAGGTTGCACCTGGTGGTAAGGAAGGCAGATTTTACTGATATTTTTGAAATCCCTTGTGCCTTTCAAAATTCCAGGGTGCTTTAGCACACTGTAGTCAGGTTATGCAATACAAAAGTGCAAAGACGATTGATATTTCCAGGGGTCAGAAGAATTTCTGTAGTATTAGGGTAGCTCATGCCAGAAAAGACTAGGGAGAATGAAAGATTAACACTAAACACATTTCAATGCTTTATTATTGGGAGGATATTCACAAGTAATCCACTTTTTAAAGAAAAGCAACCTCTGACCTTGAGTTGAGGTGCATCGGTATCTAATGCAGTGATACACGACCATCACCGCCCTTACCTCTTCCTCTCTCCTTTTCTCTTGCTTCCTTCCTCTCTTTGCTTTCTTCCTCCCTCCCTTCTCTGTTTCACTGCTTCTTTGTTTTATGCATCTTGTAACTTTTATTCACAATGAGTATTTTTGTTAAGACTAATACTTGGATAAGGATTAATACTGTGCTGAGAAAATATTGCTGAGTAAATCAGGCTTAAACTTCAATATCTCTAAGAAATTTTTCACTGTGCACAACTGACTATCAAGGAGGCATTTGTTTTTTTGTGTTTTAAAATTGATTTTCCAGCCAGGGATTTAGCTCTGTAGCATAAGTACCTGGCAAGCATGAGTTCGATCCCCGATACAAAAAAAAAAATGGTTTTCCATAGAAGTCTAAAGCTGAAATTGTCTTTCAGGCACCAGAATTTATAATATATACTTCTTTTTTCTCTTAGGTCAAATGGCAGGTGACCATACAAGGCTGGAGTTCCATAACATAGAGACTGGTATCATCACAGAACGTCGATATCTGTCCTCAGTGCCCTCCAACTTCATTGGACACCTACAGAGCCTGACATTTAATGGAATGGCGTACATTGACTTGTGTAAAAATGGTGACATAGATTACTGTGAGCTCAATGCCAGATTTGGCTTTAGGAACATCATAGCAGACCCTGTCACCTTCAAGACCAAATCGAGCTATGTTGCCTTAGCTACATTGCAAGCCTATACTTCTATGCATCTTTTTTTCCAGTTCAAGACAACATCTTTAGATGGACTAATTCTCTATAATAGTGGGGATGGAAATGACTTTATTGTAGTTGAATTAGTTAAAGGGTAAGTATATGTTACTTCAGTTACAGATAAGACTTTGGATAAATAGTCTTCAATTTTCAAAAATACACATTAAACAGAATGTGTTAGTATATAAGGTGGCAGTGATATAGGAGAACGAAGTTCTCAGCCTACTAGATATCCAGTATGAGTTCATGTTCTCTAGAATTGAAAAATGAATTTAGGAACAACAGAGATTCAAAGTTAACTATATTTATTGAGAAAAAGTAAGTTTGTGTCTGAGAGACAGAAGGTATCTTAAGCGAGTTATCTTTAGAAACAGCTCATTCTGGTTTCACCCAGAAAGTGGTTCTTTCCACTGTGTCACAGGTTTAGTTGCCCCAGGGAGATGTGCCCAGAAACACTAAGCTGGGACATGACTTTAGTGCATGTTCTCCTGGATGGGCAAAATTCTGATGTCTCATCTGACCCAGAGTTGAGCTATGTGTCCCTCATCTAAGATGACGTCCGTCTTTGGTACTGGCAAATGCTCATTTTCTGTGGACTTAATAGGGAGAAAAAGGTTGGAACAGTCTACAGTTCTTTCTGATTTTACATGCCTCAGAAAAGGAAAGTACAAAATGGGAGAAAAGATTACAAGTAAAGCCAAAGAAAGGAAACTGAAGAAGAACAGGCTTGACATTTCCTCTAGAGTGTAGAGGAGGATCAGAGCCAGTCTGTCCCAGTAAAACCTATCCCTCAAGTCTTAAAGCTGGCCACCAGCCTGGTGATGTTTAAACGGTGGAAGGAGTCCCAGGTTTAACAGGCATGTGTATTTTCTAAACCTGAGCTACATTTTATTGCAAGAGTACCAGTAAATTTAGTAACTAGTTTAAATGCAGCATGTGCAAAAATAAAACCTTATAATCTTCTCATGCTTTAATTTAGAAATGTCATCATTTTCACAAAACTATAACAGACAAAACAAAAGCAATTATAAGCAATAGACAAAGACATAACAAATCTATATAAGAGACAAAAATATAAGCAATTATAAGTAATGGACAAATATATAACAAACTTTGAAGGATAAAAATTTGTTACCTAAATGAGTCCCAGTCCAGAGTCTATGAACCAAAAACAAACCCTTAGCTCTGTCCGGTGCTCTTGGTGGAAGCCCTCCAAATGATATAGACATTTGGTAACACTTCAGGTTTTCTAAAACCAAAGAATGAATTTTAGGAACAATGGAGGTTAAGAGCAGAATATATTTATTGAGAGAAAGAAAGCTTTTGTTTGAGAGAGAGATAGAAGGGATCCTAAGTGGTTTGAAAGGACTCTGCTTTTTTGTAGGGATTTATGGAGTGAAACCATAAAATGAGGCAAGTCTATAGTGTGAGGAAAGTGTGGGAACTGGCAAGGTGGCCATGAGGTGGGTCAGAACTATGACCAACCAGTAAGAGTAATTGCTCAGGAAAAAATAATTACATAGAGGACAAACAAATGGGGAAGCCAGTCACTTAGGAAGTGAGCATGTGGCTTTTCCTGTAGGGGGTTGTGATGGTGACTTCCGGATTCCTCAGAGTGATAGAGACCTATTTAGAATATCAACTCCTGGTGTTTATCCTTAGGAAGTATGTGAGTGCATTTGTTTAACCTTTTGTGTTGAAGACTAGCCCACAGTGGAGGTGTCTCTCTCCCCCACAATTGCAAAGTATTTCCTTTTTGCCCTTGCTCCTTCAAGGGCCCAGCCCTTATAGTTGAATTAATTAAAGGGTAAGTATATGTTACTGCCTATAATATTTCCAAACTCAGCTGCCTTTAGAGGTAGGAGCAGGACAATTAGTGAATTCGTTTACATCGTTTATTAGGACTTAATTATACGGGTTCAATCCACTCATTTCTATCTAAATTTTGACGTATGTGGTACAAATCACATCGAATGCTAATTTATGGCTGGCATTCTCGGAATTTCACATTTCAGTGGTATCCTTAACTGCACAATTTAATTCCACAGAAGAATTTCTACATGTTGTAGGCAGATGTGGGCTAAACTAAATAGGTAATCCAAATACTATGAGAGTACTTAAATTTCACCCAATTTTACTTACTTCAGGCTTAATTCGAAGTTAGAATTCCCTGGCTAATTTAGAAAAAAAAACAATTTTTATGAATTTACTTTAAAAGTGGAATGAAAATTTGATTTAGGCTTTTATTCATCCACTCACTCAGTGAATATTCATGCATGTTTATAAGACAGATTATGTACCAGCCTATATAGAGTATTTTTCTTGCCTTTCCTGTGTACATCTCAGACTCCCACCAACCGTGAGACACACACACACACACACACACACACACACACACACACACACACACGCGCACACACACGCATGCACGCACGCACGCACGCACTCTCCAGTGTGCAATCCTAGTGTCTATTGGTGAAACAAAATAGAACAGAAAAACACTATGGGAAGCTTCCTAAAATGACCATGTACAAATATTCAAAAGAATCAGGGAAATTAAGAAGACTTACAGGACAGGGAGGGAGTAGATATCCGAATCTGGTCTTGAAGGATGAGTGCAACTTTTTCATATAGCAACAAGTATTCACAATAGAAAGGAAAGTACATGCTAGAAGCTGAGAATTGCTTTTTCAGTGTCCTTAGACACGAAGAGAGGGAATGGTGGGAATAGGGACAGTATAGTGCACGTTCGCATCTTTTGCTGAAATGGTGATTTCTTAACTTCCCACTAGTCCAGCTCCTGTGTAACTCACACTCAGCAAAGAAAGAGCCGCCCCAGTAGGGGAAAAGCCTCTACTGGTGACCTCTGATTTAATGCCATCACAAATTCAGAAAGCAATGATGCTTCCCTCTCTTTCCTTTTTTTCTCTAGATACTTACATTATGTGTTTGATTTGGGAAATGGTGCTAACCTCATCAAAGGGAGCTCAAACAAACCACTCAACGACAATCAGTGGCACAATGTGATGATATCAAGGGACACCAGCAATCTCCATACTGTAAAAATTGACACAAAAATCACGACGCAAATCACTGCTGGAGCCAGGAACTTAGACCTCAAGAGTAAGTACTTGCTTAGTGGAGTCACCTGCACTACACCACAGTTTCTACTCCTGTGGAAAAAGCTTTGCTTTGGGACAGTGTGGGCTTTCCACAAACACTGACCAGAATCTCATTTCTAGCACATGATTAATAATACAACACAAAAGCCTCAGTTCTTCCTTTAATGTGCAAGAACATATATATTTTTAATAGCAGCTCAGAAAATGCAACACCTTGAAATGTAGGCATGATTAAAATTTGAAGAGTGATAAAAATGCACTCAATTTTGATACAATAAAGAAAAGTAGACATTTGCAAGTGTCATCCATCCCTGCAGGTTTCCATTGATTTGTTGCTAAGGCAACCAGATGCAAAAGGAAATTTTTTTTTTTTTTTTTTTTTACAATTTATTGCTTCTCTTCTTTGGTGACTTTTCTTAACCATTTTTAAAGCCTCTGATCCACAGTAGTCTGAGCCTGCCCCCCACACCAGGAATGCTGCTCTCATCAGCTGTTAAGAAGGTCTTTACAGATGTTTTCTTTCCTTAATGATACTTGATTTCTCAAATTACCAAAACAAAATCTTAGTGGGAATGTTAGAGAGGGGGGAAATAACACAAGTTTCTGTTTGAATGGCTTTTGTGATTCACTAAGGAGAGTATCCTGTGTCCCATCTCATTTAACACAACAAGCACTGGAGGACATTTTATTGTCATGCTATTCTGAATGTAGGAAATGTGAGGTTACAGGGAGAAGCAATCCAGATCCTTCCTGAAGCCTCTTGCAAGGCCTCCCTCCTCTACCCTGAAGCAATGAAAGCCCTGTGCGGATCATTGCAGGGATCATTGCAGGAGTGCTTTGATTGGAACCAGAGGCTTATTGATAGTGACACGATCTCTCCCTTTGATTCAAAAGGTAACTTTGGAGAGTTAGGAAGCTAGCAAGAGAAAATCCAGTAGAAACTTTGCTGACAAAAACACAGTAAGTAAGATGAAAGTGAAAAAAAAAGTATTTCACTTTCTGTAACTGCACAATATATTTACAGTTCTGGAACATCATTCGTCCTACACACAAAACTATGGGAATACCTTTCTTCACCTTTCACAGTGGCCTCTTATTAACTTCAAAGAGCTTGATGTGGCCCCAAATCTAACAGCTGAGTTCAAACAACACAGCATGTAATTCAAAGGCAATTCTTTTTTTTTTTTTTTTTTTTTTTTTTTTTTTTTTTTTTTTTTTTTTGGTACCGGGATAGAACTCTCAACTTCACGCTTGCCAGGCAGGTCTTATGCCACTGAGCTAAATCCCCGGCCCCAAAGGTAATTTTGTGTAGCAAGAAGACCTCATTCTCTTTCTACTCCTTGCTGGGAAAGAACTGAGTGGGTTTCTACCCAAATGGAGGGCTGCATGGTTTGCATGGCCAACTCAGATGATTGTCAAGGGAAAGAGCTAGTTGGTGACACTGATTCTGCTGGCTGAGTGAACCACTACAGTGAAAGCCTTGTTTGTGTGGGAGAGGGCCAGAGAGTGCAACTGAACTTCCCCAAAGACTGGGGCACCTTGTTAGAGGCTAACACCAGGACAAAAGATGTGGTCCACGAAGGGTTGACATATGTGACACACATACCCTTCATGACGAGGGCAAGAGAAATCTCACTAGACAGCAGGTCCCGTCATATCTTTTTGGATATTAACAGAACTGTTTCTGGAGAAGCAAGTATTTGTTTATCATTTGTAAAAACTTGTGAGTGTAATAAGGGTGAAAAGTGTAGGTGCAGGAGTACCTTTGTGAACTTTAAAAGCCTACACAACTTATTTTTCTTAAAACAGACTGTTTAGTCATTCCAAATATAAAGCTTTTCCTATGATTAAAAAATCTAAAATTGTGAATTACATAATATATATGTTAAATGATAAATTCTGAAACCTTTACTTTTCTAAAAAGCACAATTAAATTTAGTGTGGTGAAAGCATATGTTTTCAACAGCAGCTCAAAATGCAACCTTAGAGTGCATACGTGTTTATTTTATTAATTAATTAATTAATTTATTTATTTATTTATTTTTGTACCGGAGATCGAACTCACAACCTTGCACTTGCCAGGCAGGCACTTATGTTGCTGACCTAAATCCCCAGCCCTAAAGTTTTAAAGATGAAAAAAATATGTACCTTTACTCTTGAGGTGATAGAATTCCTCAACTGAATAATTGTATTTACTTTCTTTACTAATGTTTATCACTTTACACTTTGTGAAATTCCCAGATCTTTTCAGACTTCAAACCAAATACAAATATGAGAACAAGTTCCTAAAATTACACCAAACTTTTGGCTTGTGTCTTATTTGCTTTTTACTCGTTGCTGAGACAAAATACCTGAAGCCCAAGTTGGGAAAGAAAAGGTTTATTTCTTACAGTTTTTGGAAGTTTCAGTCCACACTCAGTTGGTACAAGGCAGGCAAGCATGGCTGGACCGCAGTTGATGGTGGCTGCAAACAGCAAGCAGGAACTGCCAAAAGAGCAAGACACACCTTCTTCCTGCCATTACATTACATCCTGGATTCTCCCCTAGCCAGTGTAGCACTCACACCCCCAATCCAAGCACTAGACAGTGAACAAGCACAAATGCACAATGCAAATGCATGAGGCCTGGGGGCCATCAACATACACCGTGACAGCTTGTAACTTGGGTATGTGACCCAAGGCCAATAAAAACGCCCAAAGCCCTCTTGACATGTGTGCCTCAAGGTGTGATGGAATGTGATCTGTATCATCCATCATCGGAACACCCCTTAGTGCAGGCAGCAACCAAATGGTATTTACTGAGCCCTGAACCTGCGTTAAGAGTGGAGAGCAGAGCTGGAGGAGGGTGACAATGCCACAATGAAAAGCTCATGTCTCAAGGAGCAGACTGGGGCTGAGACGTGACATGCAGGACAGAGAAGGATAGAATGCTTTGGAGTGGTGTTGGGCGTTGAAACTAAACTGCAAACACCAGGATGATTTTTGAAGCAGTGATGTTTGCAGGGTGTCTGAAGGATCAGGAATTGCTGTGTGCTTTTCCCTCTCTGCCTCCGCCTGGCTCCCACAGTGAGGCAGGATTAAGTGAACCACTCTAGACTCAGGGTGAATGAAAAAGCTCTTGTTTGACTTAATGGTTTTATTCTCTGTATAGTTTTCTTATGATCGGTACCTTAAAGAATTTACTATAATTAATCATATTGATTCTGCAGTCAGATTGATGCCATTGCATCATCTGTCATCTTTGGTTCGTCTCAAGGTGAGGCCAGTGGACTGCACTACAGCAGACCTGTAGGATTGTGTTCATGAAGTGCACATTTCTGGGTGCCACCACGAGTCAGCTGAGCAGTTCCCATTTGAGAGGGATGTTCAAGGGATGAGTATTTTCAGACAGTACTCTGCTACAGAGTCCTGAAATAGTGCAAGGTCTGTGTTGGGCCAAATTTAACTCATTTTAAAACTTTCTGTGTAAATCTTGTATTTTGTTTTCATTTTGTAACTTGTTTTGTTATATCCATTCTTCACTGAAGTCACATTGGTTGACCGATTCAGTTTATGGCTTTTCCCCTTGCAGTACTATACCTCAAAGAGACGCTAGAGGGCACCATGAGGCCACAGACCAAGCTGTGTGGTGGCAGTGGGTGGGGATGACCTCAGCCTGCTCGGTTTGTTCTAGGAAGCAGAATTTCTTTGTTTTCAGACATCTGAATTTCCACATTTAGCCTTTATAATAATGCGTGCTTTTGTCTGTGGCTCTGTTTCATTTTATACACAGATTTTTAGTGCTCAAATCTGAAAGATGAGGCCAGGTATTCTGTTCCCCATCTTAACCCCCGTAGAGACGGTCATAAATGGGCAGGAGACTGATGTTCTTTCGCCAAGAGGAATTGTATGCAGGTGACCTTGTTCAAATTATCTTTTATGACACTGCCGGGTTCTCAGAGGGTTGCATGTCTCTCCCTGCTGGCACCGTTTTGCTTTCATCTTTATTTCCCAGCTGTTTGTGCTCTATTCCCTCTGGCTATTATCTGCAAGATTCAACACACACAGAGCGAAACAGCATAGCTTGCTCTCTGGAGTCATTTCCTAGAACGTATCTCTGCATGCTGGAACTTCTCAATCCTAACCTCCTTGGGGAGATAAGGCTGTGATTCCGCCTTATGTCCCTTCTCATGTTCCTGTGTTTGGCAAATTTATAAGTTTGTGTGTATCCATATATGTGGGAAAGAGGTAACATTTATTGAGTCTCTAGGAAACACTAATAGATTTTAAGTTAGGTTATTGTATGTAATATCTGCAGTTACCTAGGAATTTGGATGGGGCCAGTTTTGCTTGTTCATTAAGATACAAAATGAGAGTCATTTAGGGTCTCCACCTTCCATGGGTACAACTCATAAATTTATCCTTTGTAAATAGAGCATTGTTTACTTGTTGGGGATGAAATTAAAGATTTCTAGGTGTGTAGGGTACAGTGCCCTCTAGTGGCCACACAGTAAAACCACCTAAAGAAGCCTTAGGGGCCTCATCTAGGTCACCCCTATTACTTTGTCCTTCTTCCTTTACTCTCTGTCTCATATCTCTAGGGCCTTGAGCTCTTGTGCAATTTTATGATCCTGTCTTGTCGCTTGTCACCATCTATCTCTTCCTTAACCATCCTATCATCCTAAATTTCACCCTGAAGGGAATTACCTCTAATTGTATGTCCAGCTACCAAGCCACTAAACGGCCCCCTAATCAGAAACAAACAACTGAGGCCTTTGATTCAAACACACTCTATCTCTAAGCAAAGGCCTGGAGACTATCTCCTCATCCTTTGCTTTTGATGCCAGACAAGTCTGTTACCCAGCTATCTGCCTTCTCCAGCCCTATGAAGGAGGCATATTCTCCTATTTTCTACCCTTGCATATTGCTACATGAAAAATGTTTGATGAAATATTTCACCAAACCAGATTCTATCCAAGAGCGCTGTTGTGTTTAGACTTGCCCCAAGTTTATATTGTTAGCC